TACAGGACCCAACCACATAGACTCATTCAGATAAGAGCTGAAAGGGCCCTTGGAAGTTAACTCATTTTAGAGACTAGAAAACTGTGGACCAAAAATGTACTTATCAGAGGTCACACAGGTAGACTAGCCAAGTGGATCTGAAGCCAGGTCATCTAACAACCTATCGATCATTCTTTCCACAGTCAATAAGAAGTTTGGAAACACAGGTCAGTGCCTATAGGAGACTCGGGGCTCCCCAAAAAAGGAAATTCCTGGCTACCTAGAGGCCCATTTACAGTAGAATGTAAGCTACTTGAGGGACTAGTTGTCTTTTAATCCTTATACCCTAGCACCTAACACTGTGCCAGGCCCAGAACAGGAATTTAATAAGTACTGCTGTACTGGATTGGATTACATTAATATCCCTCATTGGCCTACAATAGGGATTCTTAACCTTTTCTGTGTCATGGACCCCTCTGGCAATCTGACCTATAGATCCCTTTTTAGAATAATAATATCTTTATTTTTTTTATTTTTGGTAAGGCAATCAGGGTTAAATGACTTGCCCAGGGTCACACAGCTAGTAAGTGTCAAGTGTCTGAGGCCAGATTTGAACTCAGGTCCTCCTGACTCCAAGGCCAAAGCTCTATCCACTGAATAATATCTTTAAATGCATAAAATAAAATACATAGGATTACCAAGTAAATCAATTCTATTGAAATACTGTTATCAAAAAAATTTTTAACACACATATAAGTTCATACAGTCCAGGTTAAGAACCCCTTTGGAAGAAAAAAATGGAACCTAAGTGGTAAAGGAATGTTCATCAACCATTTACTGTCATCATGTAAGACCTCAACCATCCGAAACCATCTCAACCACCAAGAACTGAGGAAATATGGAAGAAAAGTGTTTAAGGTCTCTTGGGATGGAAATACCAAACTTAATCTCTTATCTACCAGAAAAATAAATGGAAGCGACCTTTTTCAAGAGAAGCTTGACCAACTATGTAGTTAACTATGGTTTGGAGTGTCAGTCCACAAGGCCTAGAAAAAACAACCAGAGGAGGTGGAAAGGATATAGAAAAAGGAAAGACAAAGAAAGAAACGGGGGGGGGGGGGGGGGGTAGCTAGGTGCCGCAGTGGATAGAGCTCGGGCCTTGGAGTCAGGGAGACCTGAGTTCAAATTTGGTCTCAGACACAACACTTACTAGCTGTGCGACCCTGGGCAAGTCACTTAATCCTGATTGCCTCACCAAAAAGCCAAAAAAAAGAAGAAAGAAATAAGGTAAATTGTTTAAGAGATCTGAAATCCAACAAGTCAAATTGTTTAAAATAACTTCATGCCAATGTATTCCAAGGAAAACATCTATTCTTCCAGAACAAGAAAGCTAAGAGAGCAGAAAAATTTCATTGTATAAGTTCCAATCTTGAGAGGTTACACCTTATTAGAAATTTCTTAACCCTCTCTGTGGTTTTCATTGCCACTTCAATGGTAATAATACCCCACTTAAGCCAGGTTCTAAAGCTCTTAACTTGATCATTCAAGAAGTTTATTGACTTAACCAAAATCAAGAATGGAGACAGACTATGGAAAAACTTGTTTAGAACTTCATAAGCTTCATGCCTTCGTTCATTGGGCCATGTTTCTCCTCCTCTTCCTTTCTTCATTTTAGACTCACCCAAAAGTGGGGAAAATCAGAGTAGATTAAGAACATGGTTACTTTCCTTCAACTTAAAAAAAAAAAAAGAAAAAGTTGTGGTACAGTGAAAAAGACTAGTGGATTTGAGTCAAAAGACTCAGGTTCAAATCCTGAGTTTTGCCACTTACTTATATAACCTTGGGTAGGTCATTACTCTGGGCCTCAGTTTCCTCATTTGCAAAATGAGGATGGACTACTTGACTTCTGAGGTCCCTTCTGGTTTTAAATCTATGATCCTATGATCCATAGAAAGGATTCAGATTTTATGAGTTAACAGAACTCAATCAGCCACTACTGCTATTGCTTAAGTGTCAATGAGCAAGTCATTTAATCTTGAGGAGCCTCAGTTTCCTCATCTGTAAAATGTAAAATACCTCCTAGGGTTGTTGTACTGTTGTTGTTATTGTTAGGGCAAACAGATGAACCACCAGGCCTGGAATCAGGAAAACCTGAATTTAAATCTGGCCTCAGGCACTTACTAGCTGTGTGACCCTGCAAAGTCCAGTAATTCTATTTGCCTTGATTTCCTCATCTATAAAATGAGCTGGTGAAGGAAATGGCAAAGCACTCCAGTATCTTTGCCAAGAAAACCCCAAATGGGGTGACAATGAGTTGAACACACCTGAAACAACAAAAATTATTCCTAATAATGTGTATACATTTTATATACATTTAGGCACATTATTAGTCTTTTTCTGATGCCTACTGCAGGTCTATGGTCAGTTGGCTAAAGGGAAGTCATTATAACAGATGTGATCTACCTAGAGGCCAGGAAATTTCTCTGTTCCATCACAACAATAAGACATCTAAGCCCAGCCAACACCCTCCAGGACCTAGACAACTGTCTCACAAATGGGAGGCCTTTGTCATGAGTACTGATGGCTCAATGCAACCTATCCCCATCACCAGGAAAAAATAAACCAAGAGTAAGTCTACGTAACTCCAATTACACCATCTTCCCATAGAAAGGGCAGCATATGATCAGACTAGGGCCATAATAGTGCTTGGATGTTATTTACAATGAAGGTTTTATATATATCCAGGGAGTCCTCTGTTCTCATGCAACTGTCTATGGTGTTATTAATGCCTTCTTTCCTTCTTCCCTATCCACTCATTCATTAGGGCATATTAGAAAAATAGAGTGACATGGTCTGGTTTGCCATGATTCTCTTAGCAGGCAAGAAAGGAAGCCCCTCCAGAGTTAGAAACTGAGGAAGAGGCCATTTGGTGACTATTACTTAACTGGCTAGAAAGGTATGGCAGAAAACTTTAGGAAGGCACAAACTACAATTGGCAGACTTAGATTTTTGCTGGATGAGTTTTCCCAAATTAAGGCAACCGTAAGACCGATCACATAACAATTTTCAAGGGAAAAACATTAGTGAACAGCAGCCTTTTCCTAGAAATATGTAGTCTCCTAAGGATCATTTGCTGATTTTCCATGAAGTTAGGAAAACAAACTTCCATCATTTCAAGGTAACTAGCAATCTGACAACTCCAAATGAATTCTTTTTTTTTCCTTCTAGACATTGGGGTTAAGTGACTTGCCCAGGGTCACACAGCTAGTGAGTGTTAAGTGTCTGAGGTCGAATTTAAACTCAGGTCCTCCTGACTCCAGGGCCAGTGTTCTACCCACTTCACCACCTAGCTGCTTCCTCCAAATGAATTCCTACAGACTCTATATGCCACGAATACTAAGATGACAAATGGAAGAAAAAGCCTCACCCTTTCTCCTCAACTCCCACCAAAGCACGGACACTGGTAGTAATTGTCAGGCATTTATACATGACTTTCAGGTCTACAAAAGGCTTTATAAACATTGTCTCACTTGATCCTCACAACCACAATTGTGAGGTTAGAAAGTACTGCCATGAATAGCTGACTTTTACAGATAAGAAAACAGGCTCAGAGAGGTTGGTTACCTTGCTAATAAAGTGCCTGAGACAGGACTTGAACTAAGATCTCTCCTATCTCCAAGTTTTACACACTTTCCACTACAACATCCTGACTACTACAGCTGGCCTTTGTAGAGGAAGGGAGGGGGAGGGAATAAGCATTTATATAGCCATTACTATGTGCCAGGCACTGCGCTACGTGTCTTGTACAAATATTATCTCATTTGGTCATTGCAGACTTTTGTTGCTAAATCTCTCCTAAGCTTTGACTCTAAAGAATCTTAAGTATTTCCAGACTACACTAAATATCATATTCCAGTAAACTGAAAACAGGGCAAGTGGCTCATTACGGTTCTGCCACACTGAGCTGGCACCTCTAGTACTACTGAGGCAATTGTGGGGGGATTACCCAAAAACCTTGAATGCAGTTTATGATGCAGAGAAGCAAGAAAAACAATGAAAAGAATGCATTTAGGGTACTGGACTTCCTATTACCCACTTCTGGATTACAAGGAATTTCTTCCCCTCCCCTTAACAATTACCTCATTAAAGACCCCACACTGTTTCCAGCCGAGTTGTGATCAGAGTACTTACACTGTATCCAAGGTTTTGTTAAGTCTAACTCCCTACCTCAAGATAAAGGAGGAAACAATGCTTGCCATGGTGAAAGTAACCCTAAACTAAGGAAAGGTAAACAATCTGAGAGTTAACAGGAATCAGTATCCTCGAAGTATCGGAATACCTTAGTCTCAGGCCTACTACTCCTGCTGATGCATTCTCAAAGACCTCATGCACAAAACTAACTACAGGATTCATTTTTCACTATTATAGTGTGTTTTGTTTTTTTGTTTTGTTTTGTTTTTTACTTCCCTGGCTACTGAGCCCAGAGCATTATCAGTGGGAGAACTCCACCTCCTGCCTAGTGGTCCCTTCTAGTGGTTTCCCTCAGTGGCACAATGAGAGGCCAGAGCACAGCCAGAGCACAGCCAGAGCACAGCCAGAGCACAGCCAGAGCACAGCCAGAGCACAGCCAGAGCACAGCCAGAGCACAGCCAGAGCACAGCCAGAGCACAGCCAGAGCACAGCCATGCTTTGTGATTTCCAATGGGGGCCGAACAATAAATTCACTCCCTGACTTCGAGGGAGGAGTCAGGAATCAACCCCAAACTTTCCACAAAATCCCCCAAGTGCACTTATTTGCATGGAGCCACAAGAAAGAAAAGTACCTCTGAGGGTCTAATGAAATGCCCCCAATACCACTCACTCAGATGAAAGAAAGCAGCTAGTCCAGCCAGGGAGACCCAGGCCAACTGAAGAGATGTCTCTAGACAACTTCCCATATCCAAGGAACCTAGAGTCTCTTCACCCACCCCTCACAGTCTCAAGGCTCAGCCACGCATATACTCCCCAGGGAGCCTGCTTACTGAAGTCATGCAGCTGAGACACTGAAGTTCTCCTGTACACTTCACTCCACCGAGGGTCCCACGGGAGAGGGGAAGCGGGGTGTGCGAGCAGGGGGGAGGTGGTGAGGGGCGGATGGGGGAAGACAGTGCCCAGCTGCGTTCACTTCTTAAGCAGATGCTCCACCTCCCTGCACCCATTCCTCCTACGGCTCCAAATCCGACCCAAACAGATTCCCACCCACCCCTAACCATCGGAAAAGGGAGCACCAACTCTCTGCCAGCCCCTGGGCTGGGGACCGGAGGAGAGCAGGGCACAGCCTCCAGCCCCAAACCTGGAGCAGCGGCGGGAGGCAAGCTTGAGGGCGCCCCCAGAGCGTGCCGGGCATGCTGCCGCGGCCGTCCCCCTCCCCCCAGGTTCCGAAGCCGCAGTCTAGGTGGCTCCGGGGGGGGGCAGACCAGTAGGTCCTCGCTCCCCCTCCCGCGGACTCGGGGCTCGCCCAGTGGGGTGTCCAGGGTCCCGGTCGGGCAGCCCTGGGCCGGCCCTGCCCTCCCCAGCTCGGGAGCGGCCTTTCCCCAGCCCCGTGCGTTATCTACCCAGAGCGGGTCGGAGCCGTCTGCGCTGCAGAAACGAGGGAACGCCATGTGGCCAGGCCCGGCCGGGCCGGCGGCAGGACGGATGGACTGGCGGGCGGGCGGCCGGCGGCAGCGGCGAGTGCGGAGGCTGGAGGCGGCGGGGGCTGCTCCGTGAGGCCGGGAGAGAAGAAAGCCGGGAGGAGGCGGGGGCCGCGAAGGAGGAGAAGGCGGTGGCCGCAGCGGCCGAGAGGGAGCCCGGGGAGCCGCAACGCCGCCTGGTTGGCCCGCACGTCACCGGGATGGGGCCCGGCTCCGCCCATTCGTTCGCGCTCACCTAAGGGCAGAGCTTGGGTGGGGGGTGGGGGCAGAGGCTGGGGAGGGAAACTGAGGAACGCGGGGGCGCGGGGGAGGCGCTGTGCTTTCCATTCCCAGGCTGCCCAAAATGCCCTCCTCCCGAGCTCGCGCCCTGGTCACTCTGTCAAGCAGGCAACCGACAAACATTTAGTAAACATTCATCGTGTTCAGGTGCTGGGGATACAAAGAAAACACACACACACACACACACACACACACACACACACACACACGCGCGCGCGCACACACACACACACACACTCCACTAGTCCCTGCCTTCAAGGAGCGTACATGCTAATGGAAGAAGACACCTCGGAGATAGCTAGGGTCAATCAACCAATCAATAAACATTAAGCCACCTACTATGTGCTAGACACTATGCTAAGCGCTGGGGATAGAAAAAGAAGTTGTCTGCCCTCAAGGAGCTTACAATTCTAAAGGGGGAAGACAATAATAATAACCATTACAATAATAATAATGTATAAGTATCATTATATAGCGCCTACTATGTGCCTGGCACTGTGATAAGCACTGGGGATAGAAAAAGAGGCTTAAAAAAAGTCCCTGTTGTTATAAGGAGCTTACAATCTAAAGGGGGACATTATAATAACAACAACAACAATAATAACAGTAACATTTATATAGTGCTTACTAAGTGCCAGGTACTGTGCTAAGCTCTAGAGATACAGAAAGAGGCAAAAGACAATATATGACTTCAAAGAGCTCACAAGTCTAAAAATGGAGACAATAAGGCAACAACTATATACAAATTGAATAAAGGGTCTGTGAACTTGTGGTTTTTAAAAATATTTTGATAACTATCTCAGTATGATTGGTTGCCTTTGTCAATCAGTCATAAATATTAAGCACCTACTATGTGTCAGGCAATGAGCTTATCACTGGGGAAACAAAGGCAAAAGACAATTTCTGCTCTGGAAGAGCTCACATCCTCAGTATTTTATTTTATGCATTTAAAAATATTATTCTGAAAAGGGGTCTGTAGGCTTTGCCAGGCTGCCAGAAGTATCCATCACACACACACAGACACACACACTTAAGACCCCCTGATTATGTACATACTATATATATGCAGAAAAGATGGAATGCATTAACAAATGGAGGAGAACCCAGAAATGTCTCTTTCAAAAGTGCACTTTGAAGAAAGCCAGAGAAGCTCAAGATGTGGGGATGAAGGGGCAGATGAGTCTTAAACCAAGAGCAGAACAAAGTAGAAGTGGGTTCCCTTCATAGTCCTAGACCCCTGTCAATCGCCTAGTCTTCTTTCTTTCTTTCAGACAAAGAGCTCTCGAAATACCACTTCCTCTAAGAGGCCAAGTAAACCAATCAAGTATTATTAAACTATGTCAGGCTCTGTGCTAGGTGCTAGGAATACAAGTACAAAGAATGAGAAACAGTAAGCTTATCTTCCAATGGATTCCTTGCCTTCCTATCCCCTGTTTTTCTCCTTGATGTGATTTCAAAACAAAACCTGGACTAATGTAAGTGCAGATCTCCTCTATGTAGGATCAAATGGGGGAGGATGAGGGGTGTTCAGTGCATCACAGGAGGATAACTATTGATTGCCATTTAAATGCTTTTTGTCAATGACAGAGTGGTGATCATGACATTAAGTCTTGTAACAGCATGGGCTATTCTTGTTAAAGTTTGCTTTGATTTGTTTGCTAGTTCCCTAAGTTGTCCAAGAGCTATTGCTTCTCTCTTTTCCATGCACTTATAGCAACACCCCCTCTTCCCTCCCTCCCCATCTGAGGTTCTGGTAAGAAAAATAAATATCTTAATACCCTGTGTACACCAAGACATAGGCACCTGTCCGGCACCACACAGTACTGATACCAAAGCAGGACAATAGTAACTAAAAGGATTTGGATTTCCAGACAACCCATTTGCACTGTATATATCTTGTGTGAATATGTATTTCCATGTTGTCTGTCCTAGTAGACTGTTAGTTTCATAGGGGTAAGGACTCATTTTTTGTTTGGTTGGTTTTTGGTGGTTTTTTTGTAGTTTTTTTGGTTGGGTTTTTTTTGTTTGGTTTTTTTTTTTTTGTTTGGTTTGGTTCTGTTGGTTTTTTTTTTTTTGCGTTTCTTTGCATCTTCAGAGCTTAGCACAGGGTCTGGCATGGTGAAGGCTTAATAAATGCTTGTTGACTGATAATGTGATAAAAATCGGCTTTAGCAGACTTCGAATTTTGTAAATACTAGCCAATGGTACAAGAGATGCTAACAGAGGAGTAGACTGGAAGAGGAGAGCATAGGTCAGGGAAAGTTCCCAAAATCTCCTTCTACATCATATATCTTAGAAGTAAAAGAGCAAATTGAACATCAGATTGCTTCTTCCTAACGGAGAGATGAGAACAGACCCATTCCCCCTCAAAGGTTAGCTTTGCCAGAGAGGGATGGGGATGAGGAGAAGAGTAATTTGGTTATTATGAGGCCTGGATGTGGCAAGAGGTAACTAACTGAGTGGCTGTGAGGAGAGGTAGGGAGTGGATTATATATGGAGTAGAGATTATAATGAATGGTCAAAGGATATGAACAGGCAGTTTTCAGATGAAGAAATTAAAGCTATCTATAATTATATGAAAAAAAGTGCTCTAAATCAGTATTGATTAGAGAAATGCAAATTAAAATGACTCTGAGGTACCACATCACACCTATCAGATTGACTCACAACAAAACAGGTAAATGATAAATGTTGCAGAAGATGTGGGAAAATTGGAACACTAATGCATTGTTGGTGGAGTTGTGAAATGATCCAACCACTTTGGAGAGCAATTTGGAACCATGCCCAAAGGGCTATAAAAGTGTGCATACCTCTGGACAGACTTGTATGGACTGATGCTGAGTGAAGTAAGCAGAACCAGGAGAACGTTATACACTGTAATAGTCACGTTGTGCGATGACTAACTTTGATAGACTTAGCTCTTCTCAGCAATGCAAGGATCTAAGACATCTCCAAAAGTCTCATGATGGAAAATACCATACACATCCATGGAGTCTGAATGCAAATGGAATCATGCTATTTGCTCTGGTTTTTTTTTTTCTGTTTTGTTTTGTTTCTTCTTTCTTGTGGTTCCTCCTATTGGTTCTAATTCTTCTTTACATTTACATTTAGTCATGTTGTAAAGAAGAATTAGGACCAATAGAAATGACTAATGAGAAAATATATTTAATAGGAATGTATATGTAGAGGTTATAGCTGTGCACCATCTTGGGGAGGGGGGTGGGCAGGAAGGGGGAGAAAATTTAAAATTCAAAAGCTTATGGAAGTGAATGTTGAAAACTAAAAATCAATTAATAAAAACAAGTGCTATGGAAAAATTTATTTCTAGTGCCTTTTCTCTGTTGATTATTTCCAGTTTATCCTATATATAGATTGTTTGTACTTACTTTGTTTTTCATGTTGTCTCCTCCTTTAGACAGAGGTCTTTGAGGGCACGTACTATATTTTGCCTTTGTTCATATCCTGAGCACCTAGCACAGTGCTTGGTACATAGAAAGTACTTAATAAATATTTACTAACTACTGCATAAGTTACTGGGGACAACTTGGCTGGTTCTTGGATGCCACACAAACAGTTCATTGCCAGGCCCATAATTTGAATGATCTCCAGGTAGATCCTTCAAAAACTCAAGATCACCTCCATACCATGATGAGGCATGAGAAGGACTTCAAGATACAAAATAAAGTAAAATACACCATCCTAACCTTCAAAAAGCTAATGAATTAGCTGGGAAGACACAACCTAGATCAAATAGAAAAAAATCAAGTGCTAAACCCCATAGTTTTGACTGTATCAGAATAATTGCCCAATGGAGAAGAGTAGAGACATTTAATGTACTTTTCAGATCTAAATATATGATCTAAGTACCCTGTAAAACCTTTGAAAGCAGCAAACAGCATTTTTTAAATTTGCCAACCTGATCAAGATTATTTAAAACAGAAATCTGGAAAGATTATTTAAAAATGGAAAACTAGATGTAATAGAGGACAAAACAGAAATGACATAGAACAATCATAGAGGAGGTACCCAGTAATTCACAGAAGCAAAACAACAGAGAAGAAGGTATCTTTATAATATTAATGGACTCAAATGTCCATGGGTAACAAACTTGAAATTTTTAACACAAGAAAACTAATCTCATAGTTGGTATTGACATTTGATGGAAAAATATTCATTACTGAAATATAGTACT